CCAGAAGTCCCCCCTATTCTCCCCTGCCTAGCTATTAGCCATCCAGCTCTGTTGCAAGAGAAGTAGCACTCCAAAGAAAGACGCCATGTGACAGAGTTCAAGCCGAGGGGTTTTTAATTAGGAAAACGGATCATAAAAAGGGAAAAGGTAGGGGGGGGCGGTTTCCAGAGACAGAAACGCAAGGAGAGAGGAGAAAAGAAAGAGCTAGAGAGATAAGGAGAGAGAAAAGGGAACATGGAGAGGGAGAGAAAGAGAGAGAAGGATGGGAGATGGGCAGGGCCCTTTTAAAAGGGAACATAGTGAATATGCACAGCCTGCAGCTGAGTGTGTATCCTGTCAGAACTCCAAAGACAGGCCAGTAAGATGCCTGAGTACTCAGAAACCCTTCATAAACCAATCAGATGACACCTTAAGCAGAGACACATGTTCACGGTATACAGAAAGATCATCCACAACACACTGAATGGCTAGTCAGATAACGGCACAGAAAGAAAGACCCTATGTGAATGACGCTTCCTACAGAATTGTTAATCTCTAACCTCTGATGAGAATTTTACCAGTTTGAGATTACTTGAATTACTCTCAATAACCTTAATGACTTCTTAATGCACATAAAGTTTTGGTGAAATTTATGCTAATATTAACAAATTTGATAGTATTGATGTAATGAGTGAACACAGAGAGACTAAAGAACTTGGTCAACAATAATCTCCTTTTTAAAAGCACAATGTAATAATACAAGAGTCACTCAATGAACAAAGCTCTCCTATTAAAAAGGACCAATTCAGCACACTATGAAGCATTCAATAGGGTTTAACATTACATTGAAATGAATGTAGGTATCTCCCGTGTACATCTAATAATGTGTCAAAGGTAAAAGCCTCCAGATACACTGGTTGGGGGGTCCATGCTTTTAATCTCAGCACTGGCCAGGGAAAAAGGTCCTCAAGATTCTTCTTCCAAAAGTTCATCTTTCCATGACCCAACTCAAACACTCTCTATCACTGCCAGTGGTAACTTGTATAGAAACAATCAACCTCCTCAGAATCAAGATTTATTGATGTTTATTGTAAAGTGAACACAGACTAGCAGAGAGTCCCCCAGACTCTCCTCCTGCTGCTGCTGAGTGCACTGGACCAGGCCATTGTAGGCTAATTCCCACTATCTTCAGTGGGAGTACCTCCAGGCATACTACCCCTGTATTGTAAGAGATCCTGGCCAAGTCCCCTCTCTCAGGCACTTCCCACAATGCTGGTTCCCTTAGTGGGACCCTCCAGGGGGTCCTCCATAACCACAGGTCCTTTCTACCAAGCCAGATTTAGACTCAGACTCCTGCAGCTAGCTGGATTCTACAGTCTCCTTGGGTTACAATTTCTGCAGTAAATAGCAGAGGTGGTGACCAAGGGTAACCGGAAGGTTGGGACTTCTGGGGAGGGTTCAGTCACTAGTGGCTCTCTGGATAGAGTTATGGACCACTTTCTTCACTTCTTCTGTGTAGTCATTTCCATGTCTCAGGTCTCTGTGTCGGCCTCTGTCAATGCTCTGGCTCCTACTGCTCTATCCATGGCATGTATGGGATTCAGGTATAGGGTCTCTGGTCTGTTGGTGAATCTCAGGAACTGTGTGTGGTCCACATAGCCAACAAAAATGCCCAGGGTCTACATGAGATTTGGCCAGGTCAGAAGGGTTCAGAAATAATACAAGGAGTGCGTGTCTAGGGGCAGCCGTAGGTGAAATGCTAGACCTCCTCCTTGGAGCCCATGTAGGCGTGGGGCAGGGCGGGTGTGGGTGAGGGGAGAGGAGAAAGTTGCAGGGCTGCAGAATGGAAATGGAAGCAGAGGGTTATGGCTTGGCTGGCAGGATGCAAGCCATCACTAATGCTGCCCCCTGCAGGGATGGATTCCTGTTGCTCTTCCAAGTTGGAGCCTTTGTCTCTAGACTTTGCCCTCTGGAGACTAAGTCACAGCAACATCAGGAAGAGAGCGTGGGTCTCAAGTGTCTTCATCCTGCTTCATGGGTAAGAGCACAGACTCTGCTCTTGACATTGAGGAGGCTAATTGGCTCCTCTAAGAAGTCCCAATTGTAGAGACCTATTGAGATCTGTAACGATAAAGGTGAACTCCTGGAAGAGGAGTCTCTAGGGACCTGCCTCTCCAGCTCAGGTATAGCCCTGGTGACCGAGATCCTAGATGCAGTGTCTGAGGATGAACTGTTAACTCCCATAACTTGGTCACAAAGCCTTCTAAATACAGACTAGAGGCCAATGAGTCAGTAATAATCAAATACTGGGTTGTCAGGATGCCTACACAACCTTAGATAATAATCTGCCCTCAAAGGATCTCCGGAATGTGGGTGTTCTATCAGCGCATGTTCACCACACTAGGAAATGTGAGATATGCAACATTTGCATCACTGATCCTATTAATAATAAAGCGCATGTACTCATGAAAACAGAATGCTTACCATAATAACAACTGTTCTCCAAAAGACAATGATTTGGTCAAAGTGGGAGATGTTTCCATGTCTGCTCATCGTTGTCAACATCCTTCTAGAAAATCCCTTGGATTCTGATTCTCCTTTTGAATTCTTTACTTTTATGTTCATGGTGGGAAATGTAACTTCACATAAATGTACAGGAAGGCTATTTTTAGGATTTATTTTTATTTTTTGTTCATGTGTATGTTTACATATATGTGTGTGCGGCTATTGGTGTACAGCTCTCTGTGAAGGCCAAAATGGGGTGTTAGAAACCCAGGAGCTAAGTGGTTGCGGAATGGGGGTGTATTACAGGCAGGAGGGAAGGAACGGGAAGAGGAGAGGGAGGGGAAACTGTGGTCAGTGTGTAAAATAAGTGGAAACAAATGTTGATTAAATAAGAATAATTAAAAAGAGCGACCCAGGAGTGAGATGCACAGGATTTGTGAGTTCCCAAACCTCTGGGACTGCAGTGTGGTCCTCGTCACAGTTTAGTCATCTCTCTGCCATTGGGAGTGATAATATCCCTATTGACAGCTTTTGATCATTTCACTCTTTTCTTTTCCAGGCTGGCCAGGAACTCACAGAACTTCCACTGCCTCCTAAGTACTGAGATTAAAGCCACAAGCCACCACACTGGGCTCGTTGGAGAATTCTTCCTTTGATACTTCACTAGATTAGCATAAGTGATTCCTACCTCAGGACCTTGAAACATCATTGAATCTTCCACAGTTTGCTGCATCCAGGACCAAAGGAAAGTCCCGTGCATTGAGTATATTTTGTGTTAAAGAAATGTTACTTTTAAAATGTAGCCTACTGTTGACCAAGTTTAGAACGCTTCCAGTGTTCATGCATTTAAGTAAATATTATCAAATCTCATCTGTTAATATTACCACAAACTGCACCACAGAGGTGTGTAAGCCCTCAGACGTGGTCAATGATATGGTGAGGGATTGCCGTTCTCTCATCCTGGTAAAATTCTCCCAAGAAAGTATAGAGCTTCACATTGCTGTAGGGGAATGCAGGGAGTGTTGGAGAAGATATAATCGATTCAATTTTCTATAATTGTGAAAATGTGAAGATTTCTTAAGCAAGTTGGAATAAAGTACAAGGTAGGAGGAACAAAGAATTTTATCCATGGTATGTGTGTGTGTGGTGTAGTGTGTGTGTGTGTGTGTATGTGTGTGTGGTGTAGTGTGTGTGTGTATGTGTGTGTGTGTGTGTATGTGTGTGTGTGTGTGAATGCAGAGTCTCGACTTCGTCCACACACCATTCATTTAGGGATTATGTGCTTGGTATGCCATACTCTCTATGTAGATAAGAGGAGTTAGGAGTGGCAGACATACATATCTAGTTGGTTAATATGAGCTGGAGACCCGAGATGCTGTGCACTTGGATGCAGCAGATTATGAAGGATTGATTCAGTGATGTATCATCTAGAATGTAGGTACCACATGTGTGAACCTAGTGAAATATCAAAGATAAATATCCCCAATGAGCCCAGGAAAATGGCCCACGCCTTCAGCTCAGCACTGGAGAGGAGGAGACTGTGGATGTCTGTGAGTAGTATTTCTGCCTCAAAAGACAGGAAAATGATCTGAAGTCCTTCATACAAGTATCCCCGCTGTGCCTACAGAGATGGCTAATATGTAAAGTGGACCAGAGCTGGAGTTCCAGCAGTCTGGGAGCTCACAACTCCTATGCATCCTCCTCCAGGGTTTCTAACACCCTCTTCTAACCTCCAGAGAAAACTGCAGTCCCCAAACGCACATACACACACAAACATTCACATAGCACAAGCTGAAATTTTTCTTAAAAATAAACGTCCTACATATTTCTGTATTTTGCACTTTGAAAATAAAACAGAGATGGTAACAAAGGGAAATCAGAATCCGAGAGAGTTTCAGTGGTGAAGATGAGGCTAAGGACAGACTGGAATGTAAATGTCTTCTCACTATATGATTATACTTTGGAAAATAGTCATTACTTTTTGTAAGCATTCTGCTTCTATGCACTTGTTATTAATATGTTCGGTTGAGAATTGTCTCTAAAATTCCCAGTTTCTAACATGATGAACTTAGATTGATACAATGTACATGATCATGAGTGCCTTGGAGAGCAAATAAATTTCTAACCTATGTAGACATTAAGACATGGACATGTTGGAGGAATGCTGACTCAAAAGCCTGAGCTGGATGCAGAAGGATGTTGTAATCAGGGTCAGCTGAACAAATATCAGATAATGCAACTTGTCCTCCAGCACGGCTCCCAGGATGCCAGGACACAGAGATGGATCTGAGTAGAAGACGCAGGGCCCTAGAGATTCCTCCTCCAGGTTTTCATCTCTCCATGGCCCAATCCAAAAGGTCTGTTTCACTTCCCTTGGGAATTCTTAGAGAGGCCAATCAGACTCCTCCACATCAAGATTGTACTGTGAGCAGACAAAGCAGAGACTCAGTCTGCACTCATCCTACAGGATGAAGACCCTTGCACCCCAGGTTCTCTTGCTGATGCTCCTTGCCAAGATGGCCCTGACCAACCATCTAGAGGGTGAGTGTTGATGTTGGGAGGGAAAGGACATAACCCAGAGCAGCAAAAGGACTCCTACCCTAGGGTAGCATCACATGGAACCTTGTCTCCTCTCTATCCCACTAGACCAGCCTGTTCCCTTCTATATAATACTTTCTGGCCTCTAACTCCTGCTGAAGCCCCCAGCTAGAGCCCCCTTGCACCAGCATGAGATCTTAGTAGGAAGGTAAGAATCTAAAGGCACCCTTCACCTAGGTCCACACACGATGCTGTTTTTCCAAGCCCTCCTAACATGGGACGGCTTCGTGGAGTACCAGTACACCTATCTTGGCTATGTGGATGACACCCTGTTCATGGGATACAACAGCAGAGCAGACAAGCCAATGATGAAACCCCGTGCTCCGTGGATACATGAGGAGAAGCAAGAGTTTTGGGAATATGAGACACAGAGAGCTTTGAACCTCACAAAGTAATTAACGGAAGAGCTGGACGCAGTGCTGCACATCACAACCAGAACAAAACTCGTGAGTGAATTCCCATCAGAAATCCCAACCTTGAAGTTCTCCATGGGGTTGCTCCTGGTCACCATGTCTGATGTTCACCCTCAGAAAATGTGGCCCATGGAGAATGGGCTCCATAGAGCCATAGGACACTGCCTGGATTTCTGCGTAGCTGAAGTCCAAATCTAGCAAATTAGAAAAGTCAAATTGGCTGGGCCCACCAAATAGAGGGTCCTATCAAGGGTCTTGACCTGTGGGCATGACTGAGAATGGGGGTTTGGCTAGGATATCACACAGTCCAGATGATGCATGGATGTTCGGTGCTGCTTGGAGAGTACTTTAGTCCCAGATACTACTAATTAAACTATGATGGCTGTGACTACATTGCCCTGAACGAGGACCTGAGCACCTGGACAGCGTTTGGCAAGGCAGCAAAAATCATCAGGTACCAATGGAAAATACAGGACTTTGCAGAATCACTGAGGACATACCTAGAGGAAACCTGCGTGGAGATTCTCCAGAAACATCTGGAGAAAGGGAAGGAGATTTTGCTGAGAACAGGTAAGAAAGGGAACTAACTGGTCTGTCTGCTCTGGCACTGGAGCTCCTGTCCCCTGAGGAGTCCTCAAGAGGGAGCAGCTGGGACAAGGACTCTGCCTTGCAACAGAGTTGCAAGAGTACTCCTGGGTTTCCTGATTCGAAGTGAGAGCAGGCTCTCCTAGGGATCACACCCTCTTCACCGACCAGTTCCCTGTACACACACCACAACTGTGGTGGTCTCACTCCAGGATTGCTGAGTCTCTCTGTCCTCATCCAGTCAGAACCAGACTATATCCTGGAGGGAGACCTAAAGGCTCCTCCTGCTCTGTGTTGATTACCGCAGATTCTCAAGATTTCCCAGAAATGTATTGTCCTATTCAAGTCCTGCACCTAGGCTGATATGTGGAGTCTTCATCTCTCCCACCCATCGCAAACATTATCATACGAGATTTTCTGGAAGCACAAGTAGAATGCAAAAATGCCTAAATTTTTCTGTTGTTTCTCTCAGACCCTCCCCAAACACATGTGACCCAAAAGGCGAGCACTGATGGGAAAATCACCCTGAGGTGCTGGGCCCTGGACTTCTACCCTGCTGACATCACCCTGATCTGGCAGAGGGATGGGGACAATCAGACACAGGACGTGGAGGTGATGGACACCAGGCCTTCAGGGAATGGGACCTTCCAGAAGTGGGCAGCTGTAGTGATGCCTCCTGGGGAGGAGCAGAGATACACATGCCAAGTGAATCATGAGGGGCTGCCTGAGCCCCTCTCCCTGAGATGGGGTAAGGACTGGGTGTGATCACAGAGCCTCTCACAGTGAGAGTGGGAGTCCTTGGGGAACTGGAGCAGGATGATGACTGACAGCTGAAGGTCAGAGGCATCACTGTTCCTTCCACTCTTCCTACAGAACCTCCTCAGCTCCCTGTCCCCATCATGGCAATTATTATTGGCCTGGGTCTTGGAGCTGTGCTTATAGGAGCTGTGGTGACTTTTCTCATATAGAAGAGGAGGACTAAAAGTAAGAAAGGGTCAGGGTCTGAGTTCTTGTCTCTGTGGGAACACCAAGCCCCGCTGAGAATGTGCCCTGCCACGTGAGAGCAAAGTTGCATCCAAAAGTGGCCTATTCTGTCTTGTGCAAATGAGCTGAAATTAACCCCATAATGAAAAATAAAGGAAATAATAATTCATCACTACAGTGATAGAGGCTGTGGAAAACTGGTTCTCAGCTCTCAGATTTAATAAGGGAAATCTCTACTTATGACAGACATCCAAGCATCCAGTCATTCCTCTTCATGTACAGACTTCAATCATGTTTCCTTCTCTAGCTTTGGATCTGCAGTCAATTTTCTGCAGTTTTCCCTGGGATAAGAATCAGGGGATTCCTAAGCCCTGTAGATCCTGCTGCAAAAGGGTTTATTCCCAGTGGTTAAAAAGGCATCTAGGTTCAGCCTTGCCAGTAATTACCAGGGGATTCATCCCTATGACACCTGTGGCAGTACATGCAGGAGCCCATAGAGATTATCAGGCAGCCCATACCTCCTCATTTAGTTCCATCTTCAGAGGATTGGATCTGCTGTTCTTTCAGTTTCCACTGGGAGGTAAATTCTCAGGGTGTCCAGCCTTCTCTAACAGCTTTAATAAACGACCCCTTTAAGAACCTGGTGTGGGACAGGAATGGTAGGTCAGAGTATAGAACCCTGGGGGCCGGATACTTGAGATTGGGACAGTTTGAGCCCCCCCCCCCCCCCGCCAGACAGTCCTAGGCCCTTTTCTAGTTTCTGTACTGATCTTTCCTACTGGCAGTCAGCCTGCTCAGGCTTGAGTCTGATATACCATCAAGAGATGTTTGGGCCCTTGCTTCTGCAGGGTATTACACCTGTTCTCAGGAGTGTATTTCAGCCTGCGTATCTATTGTCCCTGAAGGCAGTAGGGAGTGTTACTGTTGGGGTGCTAATGTCATTGGCCTGCCCGTGGATCTCTGTGGTTTCCTCACTTAAGTTGTTGGAGTCCAGCTCTGGTTTCTGACAGTCCCAGATGTTAACAACATGCGTTCAATCCCACCACTGAGAAGGATTGTTGTCAAAAGGATTGTTGCCAGTTCAAGGTCATCCTGGGATGCGTTCTGAAATGCTGTCTCCAGAGAAAGAGATGGAAACTAAGTAACTAAATGAACAGAAGTAAAAAGGATGTGCAAGGCACCGCTATATTGATACCAGTCCAAAGAAATCTCAACTAGATCTCTTGATTTCAGATATAAAGTAGGCCAATGTTCGTAAGGGTACGGACGTTACACATATTGGGCAATACCTTACGTTGAATGTCTTCAATCCCTAGAAGACACTATTGAAGTCTGTAATGTCTAAACGTGGGCTAGCAGAGCATCCAATCACTTTCAGTGAAACTGGAAATGCTTCAAAAAGAAGTAAGATAAAACCATGTTAACCCCTGTCTACAGAAAAGGACACAGCAGACCGAAAATAAGGGGTGGTCTAGTTGCAGTTGGTATCATAACCAGAAAATTTAACATCATTTTGTTGATATTTTATATGGAATAATGAATAAAGCTTGCCTGGGGGCCAGAGTGCAAAGCTAGCCACTCACATAGAGGCCAGGCAGTGGTGGTACACATCTTTAATCCCAACAGACACACAAATTAGCCATAGAGGCCAAGCAGTAATGATACACACCTTTAATGCCAGGACATGTGAGTCTGAGGCAGAGGGATCTCTGTTAGATTGCGGTCACACTGAGATACACAAAATTGATCCAGTCTAAAAGAGAAACAGGACTCATGCAAAGGGACCTCAGCACTTGGGATAGTATGCCTTTAATCCCAGCACTAGAGAAAAATGAAGGCAGGAGGAGATGGGAGCTGATTGCATTCTGAGGGAGTCTGAGGTTTGGTGGAGTGCAGTGCAATCTGAGGTTGGGTAGACCTCAGCTTCGGTCTGAGCATTGGTAGAGGTGTTAACTCTCTAATGGCCCGGGTGCTTCCCTCTCTGACCTTTCAGCTCCCCCACAATATCTGTCTCTGGGTTTTTATTAGTCATCTATGGACAAGGCTCTCCCGTCAACACTCAATCAGAGCAGTGGCCAAGTGACATTTTACAAAGACCTCTGCTGAGTGGCTGGATTCTTATCTACCTGGTGACAGTTACCACCCCTGCTCAAGCTGTAATGGCAGAGCAAATACAAGATCTCTATTGCTTCCCACAATCAGCTTGTCTAGAAAGTGGTCCACCACTCTGAATATGAACCAGGCCTGCAGGAGGCCAGACTCCGAGGGAAGGGCAGAGAAATAACATAGCTGGAGGGAGTCCAGACTGCTCCTTGTCCACTTTATAACTCTGATCTTCAGAACGACGCTTCTGCAAGCTTCCCAGTGTCTGTGACAGAGACCTGGCAGGTGAGTCATGGAAAGATTAACTATTGTGAAAGGAATCTCTAGAGCCCTGCTTCCCAGCCTCAGACCCAGCTCTGGGGCCTGGTATCCTGGGAGCAGTGTCTGGGGACAAGTTGCTTACTCTGTTCTGGTCCTGTTCACAACATCCTTCTACATCCTAGTCCAGATGCTGATGTAACTGACAGGATCAATGAATGAAAGAAAAAGTAAAGGACTATGTATGTTACTGAAGTGTCCTTCTCTGGGCTCTGATTCTGGTGTTTCTTTGCCTCACTGTTCTGTCGTGGTTTTCTATTGACCAGCAGAGGCCTCCTGCCCTAAGCCTCTGCTGCTTGGTGATCAGAGACCACAGGGATCAGCCAGAACATGAGGGGATTTAGGATGGGAGGTGGCTGCTCTGTCAATGGCCATGCACACCATGTCCAAGAAAGGCCAAGAGTAAATGCAGCAGGAGCTGAGATGTTTAATGTACTGCTGACATATCTCTGATGATTCCCAATGTACAAATCCTCCAAGGTGTCTCTATGACACTCTGGCTAACCCTCCACAGACCCTCAGACCCAGAAATACAGCACAGTATTCTATATACCCATGGGAAACCTTGTAAAGAACATGATACCATCCATGCTATGGCTACCTTTTAATATCTGTAAGATTAAATATCCAGATGCACTTACCCTTTTGTTTTTCTGGGTCCTTTGCAGATGTTGCCTTCTCTTGTCACATCTGTGTGCATACAGTCATGGTTGCTTAGTTCTGACCTTATACTGGTGTCAGAGTTTGGGCCTGTGGCCTCGGGAAGCTCCCATGGCTATATAGCTGTTACGTGGCTGAGTAACAAATGGAAAGCAACAGACATGCAGAACTAGCAAGACTTCCTCTACCTAAGTGGTCCAAAGGCTGTGATGTCAAATGTGGCTCAGGTTTCAGCACTTGCCCAGAGACTTGCTGGTGAATCCTAGATGTAGAGGGGGCTCTGGGACTTGGCTGGAGTGAGGGCTCCAGGCCTGAGCTGGATAGAGTGTCTCACATACATGCAACAAAAGATCACCATCATGTCAATAAGCAACCTGCCTTCTTTCTCTAGGCTTTACTTTTAGGAGGTGCGCTTCTGAGATCTACTCCTCAGCAAAGCTGTAGAATCTGCCAAGGGCCTGCACTTGTTTCAGGTTTGGGGTTCATCAAAGAATACAAGTATGGTTATCCTGCGACTGGGCAGGTGGTTTCGTTTCTTAAAATGATAACGGCTCTTGTAGAGGACCTGAGTTCGTTCCCAAACACCAACAAAGGGCTGGGAGCAATCTCCTGCTACTCCAGGCCCCTCGGATTTAATGTCATCTTCTGGGTTCCACATGCACCTTCAATCAATTGGCATGTACTGAACCCACACGAACATACACATAAGTAATAATAACTAGAACTAAACCATAATTGCGGTGCCCTCTGTCAGAAAAAAGAAGAGTTTGGGTAGCTGTGATGTTGTCATACATGCCCAGTGGTGGTACATGCTACTCTGCTTTTCTATGACAAAACACCATAAGCAAAAGGAGTTGACTTCATCTTCCAATCCCCAGGTCACAATCCACCCCTGCAGAAGTTCAACCAGGAACTCAACGCAGGGAACCTGAAGCAGGAACTGAAGCAACATCCTTGGGAGAATGCTGCTTACTGGCTTCTTCAGACTGTATTCTGTGTAATCCAGGACGATCTTCCCAGCCTTTGGTGCATGAACAGTGAGTTGGGCCCTCCCACATCAATCGCTAATCAAGAAAATGCCAAGCAGACTCACCTACAGGCAATCTGCTGGAAGTTGTTTAACAACCGAGGTTCCTCTTCCCAGATAATCCCAGCTTGGGTCAAATAAACAAAACTAAAATGAAACTGGGGACATGCTTTCAATGGTAAAATCCCCTATAGGCTCAATTATTTGCTCACTTGGTCCCAACTGGTGCTGCTCTTGGGAGAAGTTATGGAACTCCCTGATTTGCAGCCCAGCTGGAGGAATCCCTCATGTCCTGAAAATCTTCTCTCACAGCACACAGCTCACCTTCACAGTGAGCACAGGCTAGCACCATAGTAAACCGTCACCTGACCTGTCACGTACCCTTATTGGGCATCACCTGTCACCTACAACTTGTGAACACTGTCCTTTGTGGCTCTGTAGACTGACTTTTCTCCTTGTTCCACACAACGCATGCAACTCAAGGTCTGTGTAACATGACAAATAAATGGCCCAGGGACAGATATTGGGGTTCAAGCTTCAAGCTGAAGATCAGAAAAGCAAAGCAGAGGGCCACTAGTTCTTACTCTACCTTAGACTGAAAGGTGATCCTGACTCCAACAAAACTCAGACTGCTGCCTTTCCTCAGTGTGGCTGGAGAAACTCGAGACTTCAATGTCTAACCACCCTCAATGTAGATGGAGAATGAATGCCAGCGCTGAGACCCTATTCCTGTCTTAAATACCCCTCAGGAGTCCTAGGATTAAGGTGGGTATCCCAGGTACTGAGATCACCTTTGTGTGAGTAGTTTCTCTTTAGGCCTGGATCATTTTCTTGTAGCTCTGCAACTTAAGGTAGCAGGGCCCTATAGGAGTTCTG